ACTGAAAGGAAAGCAGGAAAGACTAAGAGGTCTCATTAGCAGTTTAATTGCATAAAGAAAGTCCCTTGGATTACTGAAAAAATAACTCTTGCCTAGTGAATAGCTTTTCTTTTCAATTACAGCAGAAATACCTACCTGCTCTGATAAGGTGTGTGCCAGGGGGATGTTCATTAACCTGGATGTATTCACTTTGTTGGACTAGGATGATAATTAAAGTCTCTCCTTTGCTTCCCTTGGGAATGAATGAAAGGGTCTGACTGTCTCTGCACAGCTCTGTTGTGACTAGCCCTTGAGGCAACAGGCTGGTCTGGGAGAACGTGTCTGTAACAGGCAAACTGCCTTTGTGCAGAGGAGCCTAAGCTGGGACCTGTCTTGGGCAGTACCCCTCAAAGCTGAGCCTGGGCAAGGGCTGAAAGAGAGGTTGGAAGGAGAGTGTTCCCTTGCTTGTCTTGGCTTTGGGGTCTCTGTCCTGGCTGTAGATGCTCTGCACAAAGAGGTGGCATCCTTCTGCTCAGGGACACTGGGAATGGGGAGGTTCAAGGCTCTTAATTGATAAACTGGGCTTGCTGTGGTGGGTCAGGGGAAGGAGTGGAGCAGGTTCCTCCAGCATCCCCACTTCGGATGCCAGCACAGACAAGCTGGCTGTGCCACACACATGGGGTTGTTACTCTCTGGTCACAGTGCCCAGCCTGGCTGAGCCTTTCCCATTGTACCACAGCATGAGACAAGGTGTAAGGGCTCCCCTGCTGCACCCCATTCCTGCCATCAATGGGGGAACCGTCAGTGTCATGCTAGAGAAATATGGTCTTCAGAAAGGAGAAAACACCCCCTATTCCTCCTCCCCTTTCGCAGGATTATAGAATCAACTAGGCTGGAAAAGACCTTTGAGATCAAGTCACTCAAAAGGGATGGAACTCCTTTCTTTTTGCTTACTTCCTGGATTTAGCAGGTCCCCTGCTGTTTCTCCTGCCTAGACACTGGCATCCATGTTTGTCCTGTCCTGTTATTAGCCCAGATTTCCAGCACAAACCACCCTCCTCAAGACAGAGCAGGAAAAGCTGCCAGGGAAACAGCAGGTATTTTACCCTGGGAGAGTGAGTGTGCTCCCACTCTATGGGGCAGCAGCCAGCAGGGTGTTAGAGTGTTCCCTGCATCCTTTAAAGGTCAGGCTGTGCAGAAGGAAATGATTCAAAACAGTTTTGGGGGGAATAAGACTTCTGTCTCCCTCCAAAGCAAAATGCTTTCACCTGCACTCAGATACCCCCATGCTACATTGGCATAGGGGTCACTGATGCAACAGCTCCGTTAATTCATACCCCTTCAGGTACGTGCCATCAGTTCAGCATCCTCCCAGTTAAGAACTTGCCCTCCCCAAGACACAGCTCTCCATTTACAGGAGAGTCTGCTCTGCTTTTAACTCAGCACTGATACCTGCAGTTGGATGCTGCTGCAGTAGCTCAGCTAAGGGTGGCTGCATTGCTGGTGCAATGATTGATGAAGCCTGATAGGACCTGGGGTGGGAGTGAGGGCTCATAAATTCAGCCAGGCTCTCCTGGATGTGATTACCCCAGCGGTAAAAGGGGGCATCAGCACTCTGCTGCTGTGGGGAGGAGGTCTTAATGGGATTAGAGCTATTAAAGGCTGCGAACAGCTCCAGTCCAGGTGTGGGCTGATGGCTCATGCAGGTGCAGGGGTGAGCTTGAGGATGGGGCCAGGAGCCATTTGTCTTTCTTGCACCCCTTCAGGGGCCTGCCTGTGCTGGGTTTTGGGAAGCGTTTTGAAGGTTATATTCTCTGAGTGCTTCTTGAGCCCTCATACCGAGATGACTGAGGAAATTCGTCAAAACCCAGAATCCCGTCACTCTGAGACACCAGGTTTTCCATTTCCTTTCCTTCCTCTTTCAAGCTATCCAAAGGCACCAGCCCAGGGGGTTGAGTGCTGCCTGTTCCTGCTGCAATGAGAAAGATAGATCAGGCCCAGAGAGATTTCCTGTGTGTTTGCTCAGAACTGGCTCTCCTGCTGCATGCTGCTTCCCAGCTCAAGGACTAATGCTGAGAAAGGCACTTTGAGCACAAAGTTAGCTACATAGACTCATGCCAAGCTTGTGACTTGTACGGGAGATTAATTCCTACCTCCCAAATCTTTTAAGGAGGAAAAGAAATGTTCTGTCAGTGTCCAATAAATGGTGCCAGAGATGAGCTTTCTACTGGAAGGAAACAGGAATAATACAGCAGTCCAGGATTTCAGTATCAAGCATTTAACTCCTCAGCAGCCATCAGAGACTTTGCTTGCTTATACCCTGAGTAGCTCGGCACATACTGGTCACAAATGGGTGATAACACAAACCCCTTGGCAGGGCAGAGCAGCTCCTTCTAGCCTCCAGAGATGGAAAAGCCTCCATCATCAACTGAGCAAACAAGCTGCATCTAGCTGATGAGCATCTTCAGCTGGATGCTGAGATTTGGCACAGCCAGCCCTGGGCTCACATGGAGAAGTCTGTTATCATATAGATGGGCCTCTTGCAATGCCCGTGGGTGTGTGGAGCAGCTGGGTGCTCATGTAGGAACTGGTGGTCTGTTTGCTGCTTGCTCTGGCTCAAGTTGTATGTAAAAGGTTTCTGGATGTTTTGAGTGCATGTACCTACATGCTGCAGCCTTTGCAAGGCAGTGGGTTAACCCTCCCTCTTGCTCTTCAGGAGCAAAACATCTTTGCTCTGCCAACCCTCCTTAGGTAACGTAAGGCTGCTAGTATCAGCAGCCTTAACATGCTAGGGCAGGCACTGCTGCTTGGCAAGGGGGTGAACAAGCCTCAGGTGAACAGCCTCTTGGGCTACTGCTCTGCTTTTTCCCCCATGTAGGTGCAGGGATCAAAGCCTCCTCACTGCCCTCCCATCACTGCAGGGTGTGCAGGGTCCAGCTAGCGAATGCTCCTCAGCATTTCACGCCTCCTGTGCTGTGCCTCGGTCTCTCTGAGGGCACCTCTGAGCCACCAGCTTCTGGGCCATGCTGTTTCATAGGCACTTGCTCTTTCTGGAGGGATTGAATGATAAAACTCCAAGGGATTCAGAGGATCTCAGACTTCAAAAGCTTTGAAAACCGATCTCCAGGCAAGCATGAACTGGGAGCAATAGGGCATGGCTGCACAAGGTATAAGCTGCTGCGTGCCCAGACTGTGAGTACATTCTGTGTGCATCTTGCTGAGGTCCCATGTGTGCTGACTCCAATCTTGCTCAGTTCCTCTCTATCGCTTTCCTTCTTTTGACACAGCACCTTTGGAGAAGGGATGAGGGAGCATCTCCAGTTCCTCTTCACCGCCACTTCTAAGCCTTTGTGGTTTTCAGTGAAAGAGAGGGAAAGGCATAGGAAGGGTGGGATGAAACACTGACCACAGCTATTTCAAAGCAAGACACAGCTGAAGGCATTTACCAGGTGCCTGTCACCAAGTCCCTTGGTCTTTCATAGGAAATGGGAAAGCAGAGCCCATAGGATTCCCCTTGGCAATCTCACCTCCCAGCAGCTCAGTCCCCCCCAAAGCCACTGCAGATACTTGTCTAACATATCATTAAAAACCTGAAGTGATGGAGATTCTGCTTCCCAGGCAGGGAAACCTATCTCAGGGTTTTATTCTCCTTCCCATTAGGCAGCTTTTCTTAACATCTAACCTAAATCCTTCTTCCTACAACTTAAGCCCATTATTTCTCATGTTATCCCCCATGGACAAGGAGAACTCGTATTGCCTTCCTCTTTGCAGTTCTCTCTCATACAGTTGAAGGCTGTATTTATCTTTCCAACATTCCTGGAAAACAGAGCATTGCCATTATCTCTAGCAAACAGATGGGAGCACGGGATCTGGGTTTCTTGCTTAATTTTACATATCTAGAAGTTAGAAGTCAAAAGTAGTAGTGTGATGTTCACTGTTGTATCTACTCGTCTGAAAGAGCTTCCCTGTGCCATCCATCAATCCCACTGCTTTAATGCTGTGATCTTTAGCTTCCCCATCACTAAAATAGGAGAGGATGGGGGAATACAGGGTGCTGCTTTCCAAAGCATGTTTCTGTAGCCCCACTGCTAATGAAGGTGGAGAAAGGGGTCTATTGAAGGGTTGCCAGCACAGCAGTGCTGTAGCAGCAAGTGCCACATGCACTGCACAGCTACTGGCAGAGTCATCCTTGGGTGAAATATCAATTTTGAGGCATGTCTTAGGGAAAAAAAATGCTATTTTCAAGTTTACTTACAGTGCTGCCTTTCATGTGCAAAGCAACTGTCTCACTTCATCAGAGCAAACAGAATATATTGCTTGCTCCTTCCCTTTGATTTCTTTTTGCCACTAAGTTTGTGTTCTGTTTGAATTTTGGCAGGAGCAGAAGACTGTAACAAGTAGGAGGTGAAGCTCGGGTAGTCTGGAGAAAGGGAGATATAATGATCTTTTCCAGCTAAAAAATAAATGGGTTTGATACGAACACATGTTGTAAACTCAAGCTGTTAATTGGGAAGAAAGGAGGCTATAAACATTTCAGTGTTTAATATTCGTGTCAATCTGGCACTTGGAGTAAAAAACAAGCTTGGGTTCTATTTCATTTGGAATGATGTTTAATTTCAAAGCTGCTTTCAGTTGCACTTTGTATTAACGGCAAATCACTCCAGAAATGCTGGAATTGTGAGAGCGGTTTTCAGTTAGTTTCTCAAGTATTCTTCCAGTTATTTTTCTGTCTTCATACCTTGAACACCAGTTATTTCCCCCCTCTCCCTCTAGAATCACCAGCCTACCATCCAACTGCTTCTTTACTCAGCTCAAGGTGGGTTCAAAGGGAATTTCAATCCCTGGCAAAGGTGAAGAGCTGGACTCAGGTCTGAGGTTGCAGAAAGCTGCCGCATTTTGGCTTATAAAACCTTATCACCCCCCTCTGACAAATCCCAGCTTTTTGCAGCTATTATTTGCTGAGTTTGAATAAACAAAACCAAGCCCAAATTAAAACAGGGGAGAGGAAGAGAGAATTGAGATGCTTTATTCTGAGTAGGGGATTCTTAAAAGGGAGGTTAAAAAAGGAAAGGAAAAGCTCACCAGAAACCACCAAGATTTTGCTGTACCAATGGCAGACAGAATATTCCTACTCTTAAACTTCTCTTATTGAAGAAGACTTTTCTCAAACCTTGCCTTTTAGCCCCAAACCCCAGTAAAACAGACATAACCAGAGCTGAGTCAGCTCTGCTTGTGAACCAGAGGAACTTTCTCAATGGAAGCTGTGCAGGACAACAGCTCCAGAGCCCACATAGCTCCCAAGGATTTCTCTATGGGCATGCAATTATCTCCCAATCCACCAGCTTCTGCTATGCAATATTAATATGGTCTTGTCCAAGAGTCTTGTCCATGTCCCTTCCCCAGAGCCTTACTGGGACTGTCCATCCCATGTTGTCTCTTCCAGGCTACCCCAGGCATGTGTTTGTTGGTGCTGTAGGATGTTAACACTTGCCTCCATCTGCTAACGTGACCCTCTGCCTCCCTCCAAGTCTCCCATCGTTTCACACAAGGCTTTGCAATGCTTCAAGTCCCAAACAAATCTAGTTTAGCAGGGCAGCTTGCAAACCCAATTAACGGGCTTTTGTTGTCCAGCGACCTGCTTCCCTGGGAAGTTTGCCAAGGAAATGGGTCAGGGTAGTGCATTTCAATGACTGAGGGACAGCTCAGCATCCCACCAAGCAGAACGATTTGTGTTGTTCACATCTCTTGACTGTGCGAGCCAGAATGTGGTAACAAGAGCTCATAGCTCCTTTTAGATCACTTCCCAGATCCAGTCCAGCTAATGCAAAGACCACTGCCATGGCAGGACACTGGTTTGGATATGACTTCTGTGCAGTTACTGAAGTAACTGGGATGTAAAGCAAAGCAGTATCTTTCTCTTTCAGAACCAGGCACAGATTTCTCGGATGATGCCTCATTTCTCTGGGAACATGAAATCTCCGCAGCACCTTCTAGCAAGTGCAGTCCTTGGCCTGGGTCCATGCAGACTGGCCTGTCTGGTTGGATCTGTATGAAGTAACACAAGAAGAAAAACAGGCTCTTGAGCTTCAGAGCCTGCATCATCTCCTCAAATACCTATATTCTAATTTCATGGTTGGGAAATACCTCTCCTCTGCAGCAGAATTCCTCCAGATGATTATGAGGCAAGAGAAACATGCTCCTGATTTCCACAGCTTCCTGAAATATTAGATGGTAATGACAAATATCCCCAGTTTTTCCCCATCCTGGTATTAAAGATTTGTCCTCCTTCGGTTCCATGTCTGGCAGCTGGAGGGATGCTCCAGAAGACTCATAAAGGGCAGAGTTCTGGATCTGAAGAGCCACCATGCTCCCTGTTTCCAGGTGATGCTGCAAAAGACAACAGGCTGTGGGAACCAATTTGTTGCTCACAGAGAGAAAGCAGCTTATGTGTGGTGGGGAGAAATCAAGCATCATCCAGAAGAGATAATTTCTGGTGATGTCCTCTGCAGTTACCATCAGTGTACATTCACAGCAAGTATCATTTGCAAAACACCCAGATAAATATTCTGTGTTTCCAGCTCATTCTGTATTGAATCAGAGGAGAATAAATTGCTCCCTTTTAGCATACACCGCGGGTGCCTAAGCAGAAATGAAAGCAGATTGCATGCTAATGTCTCTAAAGAGGGGTTTCATTCACCTTTATCAGCAAATTCTGCAGTCTACATTCTCAACCCAGACAGGAACATGGTGCTACAGAGTAAGAGGACGTTCTGAACTGGAGAACTGAACAAGAACCAGATATGCCTACAACCAAGGGTCAGATCTTGCGGCCATCAGTCAAATATCACCACCTAGAAGCAACACAGGAGATGTCTCATGGGAGACCAGTTTCTCCTACGCATGCTGCACCTGAAGCACACACGCTATATTATCATCAACCCAATGTACCATAGCAATGCGAGAGATCCTACTACAACTACTGGAATGAGGATCAGAGGGATGCTTTCAGGAGTATTTCAGTGTCTGCAATTCAGAGGCCATGTGGGCCAGAAAAAACAATGATGAAGATGGTGATGAGCTGTGTTTGGAAAAAGCTTTCAGATGAAAATCTAAGGCTGTCATGCAGCAGCTGGGTCTTCTGAAAGCTGGTAGAAGAGGTCTGGTTTTCAACATTTAGGTATTCCTTAATCTAGAGGTGAGAAATGTTTTGGGGAATAGGGAAAGATGACATCCAAAGGCTGTCTGAGATCCCAAATTGGATTCTTCTCTTAAAACACAGACTATTAAATGACTCTTGACAAGACCGTCAGGTATTCAGTGTTGTGGGTGCTCTGCTCCTCATGCAGTAAGTCCTGAACCACTGTCCTCTTCTTATGGGCAATGACTGAGTAGGTGGCATCTCATATGGTAGAGATACCCAGAGTGACATCCCTCTTTGGGATGGCTGGTCCAAGCTTGGAATGGTGTCAAGTATGGAGTTCAGTGCTTCTCCTTCTCCCTGCATGGCCACACCACATAGCTGTGGTGTTTGGTGATGCATGTTACTCCCATCCAGTGGCAGCTGTGGAGAAAGGAAACACATGACACTAACATAATCCTTGCTCCTCCCATGCCAACATCCCATTCTGCCTGGCTTAGGTGTATCCATAGTTTTTGGGTCGATCTCCTTTCCCTTTGGCATGAAGAGCTTTATCACTCTTCCCTTCTAACTCTTCTACCTCACCGCCCCCTTTCCCTCCAGAGCAAACAACAAACCATTAAGGCTGGTCTTAGTGCTTTGACACTACCACAGTGTTCTGCTCCAGCACATCAAGGACAGACTGCAACCACGTCCGAGATGCATCATTCAGAGCATCTCAAACACAGCAAGACTTAACTCCTCCTAGGATATACGTTACCGCAAGCACTCTGCCTTTCACCTCCTCAGTGGGCGTCAGGACCTCACTTATGGACCTCAAGCTGCAGAATAGCTGAACCTTCAGAAGGAAGTGGAGAAGTTGGATGCCTACTGGCTCTAGCATTTGCTGAGGGGGTGTTTGGCTGTTCCTGCCAGAAGCAAGAGCTGCTCTGCATGGACCTGTTAAAAAAGAGTAAGTCTGGCTGTAAATAGGCATTTCACCATGATTGTGCTGCTTACAAATGTAATTGAGGAGAGGTGACTTCTCACCAACATACATGCAGAAAGAACTATCCTAATGTAAATTCAAAAGGGAAAAGGCCTATTCCTAGTTATTTGCCCCAAATGAACACAGCAAGGTAGTGAAGCTGTAACAATGTGTACTATATCAAGAGCAATCCAAACCAGTGCTACTTCAATGAGAAGGTCCTACCAATAAAGCTCAGAGTAGAGCCTGCCAGCCATCTCTGAGGCAGTGGGTTATATCCTCCACTGTTGCAGTTACTTCAGCAAGGCTGAGAAAGACCTGTTGTGACATCCCTTGAAAGGTTCCCAGGTTCCCACTGCCTGTGCTTGTGGCCACTATGGGATCAGAGAGAAGGAGAGCAGTATGGACTCTCTTGGATCATCAGCCATGATCAATGTTTGTGGCCAATTGAAACAAGGCTGAAAAGGTGTCATCGTTTTTCTGCAGCTCATTAGCTTCAGAGCATGTGAAGTTGTCTTCCTCTTCTTCCTGGCAGGCTGCAGCCATCATCCAGTTCATCGTTATGTGGCAGAGGTCAGGAAGAGTGTGGAAGACTCCCAAATGTGCGCAGAGCCCTTAGGCGTCCTTCTCTGCTGGGGATCAAGTAATCCAGATATGGCTGTGGACAATGAGATGGAGGAGGTGGGAAGGCAGTCAAAAAGTTATCATTGCTGAGAGCAGAGTCTTGTCTCCAGAACTTGATGGCCCATCCATCACCTCACCTGGAAACATGACATTGGAGGCAAGTCAGATGGGTCCCAACCTAAAGAGGTGGAAGTGGATGAATTCATCCAACAAAATGGATTGTTCATGCAATAAGGTATAAAAGTTGTCCTAAGTGTGGTGTGTTCGTCACCTTCCCTTCCCTTTAGCAACCATGATAACCTTTGCTCTCCCCAGCCAACCTTTGAGCAGGCTTGCCAGGAACTTACCCTAAACCAAAATTCATATCAGAAAGGATAGAGGTGGTAGCCAAAGTATTTCTTTCCCCATGGTGCTCAGAGGCCATGTGCTCCCTGCCTAATGTTATGCTTCCAACAGGAGCACCTCTGAGGTTCCATTTGTCCTCTCTGATCTCACATTCAATATCTGTAGGCTCTGGGCCAACTCTGTTCTACAGGTTCTCCAATGTATCTGATGCTGCTCATTACTTCTGTCATTGATGCCAGCTGGTCGTGTACAGCTAACCAAAGGAGACATTTACCCATGAAACTCTGTAATGGCCCCACTCAGATACTTCCTGCACTCCAGCTGTGAAAGAAATGTTCCTATTTTTAGCTTTGAGGTGTTGGCAAGCAATGCAGTGCATGGATCTGCATTCCAAACAGGTAAGAGCACAGCCCCTAAGCCTGGGCCTTCATTTCATTCTGCTTATACCAAGTCTTGCAAATCTTGATGCTTAATCTAGTGCCGTAGCTGCCTGTCAACCACTCTCCCAAATGCAAATACGATGGAACAGTTGATAAGGTTTTCTCATGAGAAAATACATGAGGGATTGAGAAAGATTAATGTTGGCTGTGTTCAATAATGTCTGTGTTTAAAGTCTGGAATGCTTATTCTATCAATTTTCTCCTTTCTCCCCTTCTGAATTTTATTTTCAAATAGGAAAAAAATCTCTTTCAAGGTCACAGAGAGGTTATGTTTTAAGATGTTTGCAGTGCATAGCTTCAGGCTAGGTTAAAATTCACTTAATGATCATAGCCCTTCTTGACTGAGATTCATTTCTTTTGCTATCTTTGTCTTCTACTTTCCCGAATCCTGTTAGAGCTATGATGCTGCTAACATGGCACGACACCAAGGACAGAAGATACTTTTCTCCTCCCTCTTGTTGTTAAAAACCCCTTCAGTAGTGGTTTGTTGTCCCTTTTTGTCTTCCTCCCTTTGCTTTCTCATGACTTCTAGCTGACAGAAATGAGCTGCTTCTCTGTGCAGTCAGGATAGGGCAAAAATGCAGCAATCCCCTTTATTCTAGAGGAAACTGTATTAGAGGAAACTGTATTAGAAAGCCCATTTCTTTCTTCCAGTATATTGTCTCACCATGTGCCACCTGTGTCGTCTTTCAAGTTATAATCCCAAAATGGGGCAAAAGCTCCACACAAACCCTTTTGTGGGATGCAAAGCCAAAGATTCCTGACTGTATTCAGGAATTAAAGGCCTATGGCGTTGTGCTGTGGGAAAGTTAACTGTACATGTGGAACAAACACATTAAGCTTTCCTCCATGGTACCTGAAGCTCCAACCCAACCTGATCTCCCATCACAAACTGCTTTGATTATAGAGCCACTGTCTGCCTATCTGGTGAAATGCCTTTGGAGAGGAGAAGGATGTTGTGCAGTAATTAATGAGTGATGACCGTATCTGGGGGCCAGCAGGGAGGCAGAGCTACAAATTCAATGAAGAGGTGTAATTTGCATCCCCAGAGCGAAGCAGAACTAAATTAATTACTACTGAAAGGCCAGAGCCCCTCATGGGACAACCAAGGATTCACTTCAGCTTCTATCTAGATTTCAGGCCTTTATGTAAGAGACCTTGTTTCCAATCTCATGTTTATAACAGGGGCAAATGATGCCTTATGTGCAAGGACAGACTACAGCACAGATAAATTGCTCTTATATTAGCTAAAGCCTTGAAGCAAAATCACTGGGTAATAGGCTGTCATGGCCATTCACTGCATGGGATGGCTGCCAGGGTCCTGCTCAAGGTCCCTTAAGTGCTGTCACCTCTGAGTTTGCATTAGATGCAGCTGAGCTCCTACCCAGCATGGAGCAACCCCAGTCAGAAATTACTTGTAAGCATCACTGAGACCTCCCCAGGCAGGCTCCTGCTGCTCCATTGTCCCTCTCTGCCTATGCTGAAGTTAATCCTGTGCTGGGATTACTCTTGTCTTGGACTTCAGGTTCCTTCCAAACTGTGGTAAACATCGGGAGCATCAGTGTAACATGGGTTTTAGTAGCTATCCCAGCTTTCATCCTGCTAGCTTTGCTGGGACACAGTTACGACACCACTAATTTATATGCTTAAGGGCTCCCCTAGTGTAAGATTCTGCTTCCTTACCACCACCTTTGCCTTTGGCCAGTTTGTGTGCAGAACTGCTGGTCAGGAATCATCCATTCACAGGCAAACTCAACCCCTACCAGTAAAATGGTGATTTTGCCCACTGGTTCTGTGTTTGCCATTGCAAAGGATTTACTGCTACTGCCAGGATAGTGTATTCTGGGTGTTGCCAGTGGAACAGGGGAACAGGCAACCTAAGGAATGCCAAGGGAAATATATTTCTTCTATGATTTTTTGTTCATGTGACCAGAATTTCTCCATGTAAAAGTGCATTAATATTCTTCTATCCCTATTTGAAATGCTTTGCCTTGGTCTGCCTTTGTCTTTATCCTTGCTCTATTACAAGTGGTGTCCTATACTTGTCCCTAGGCCAGTGATTACCCCTGTTTCTTCCTCCTCTCTTCTCTAACCAGTGTTCTCATCACATAGTAGAAATAGCATAAACATGAGCACAGTCATAAAATGCAAAGAAGAGGATAATGTGTCTTCGGAATTCAGTGATAGTCATCAAGACTACATTGGTAATATTATGGTGTTCTCTATCTCAATTGTTATGTAGCTGCCATTACCTCTGGTGTTGAATATTATCCCACTCCTATAGTACAAAAGGGAATTTGTTTCTATGCTGTGCTACCACATCGATTTACAGTGTATACATAGCCTGCCCTTCAGTCACTTGCACTCTCATCCTCTAGTAAATTCAGTGAGTGAATAAAAGCCACAGGAGAATCAAGCTACCTGATTCCCCTGCATGACACATCTCTTCTGTGCTCCCAAATAAAAACAGAAAGTACCTTTATTAATTCTGCCTTTTCTGGAACTCAGAACAATGTCTCTATATTTAATGCTTTCTCTCCCAGAAGCAAAAAAAAACCTGTTAACAGTCTCCTAATTCTTTGACATGCTTGTACTTCTGTTACACTCCTTATGCCCTGCTGAGACTAGAAGCAAAACCGTAACCAGCTCATGCTGGGTCAGTGACACTGGTACCACCACCAAGGGAGCATGAAGACAGTGATGAAGAGCAGAGAAACATCAATACATTTTGAGATGGGCTGTTACACAATGTATGTAGGAGCTGGCGTACCTAATTTCCCAGGGTGAAGGACAGGACAGTATCTGCACTGCAAAATAGCTGTATTATAACCTGTTAACTGAAGGACAGCATCCAAATTACATTAAGACAATGATATTAGCTAGTTAAAGCCAGTATCAGCAACAGAGATTGCATGAGGATATAGAAGGAAGTAAACATGCTGATAAATCCCACTGAAACAGTGTTATTTACTGAGCCCTTGGGCTGATGGACCCGGATGTGTATTAAACAAAGCAGTGCAAGGTGGTCAATGCAGATCACCACTTGGGAGCTGGCTAACCTCAATCCAAGTCCTCAGTACAAGACTAACCTCAATAAAAGTCCTCAACATTGACCTGGATACAAGTAAGAATCATGTCTCAGATACTGAGGATCATCTGCATCATACCCTCCTCTCCTGGACAATGTGTGCTTTGGTGCAAAAATAGCTTAAAAGAGTTAAGGTCACAGCAGAAGTAGATGATATTCTCCAGGTTTCCCAGGGCTGAGAGCAGTGAACCTAACCAGGACTGAGACACACACAGAAACGTGCTCCCTGAAACTTCTCCATGGGACGTGGTCACCACAACTGCGCAAGAAAGAAAACAGACCTATAGGGAGAAGGGAGAAACAAACCCATTTGTGCAGAAGTAAATTGGGAATCAATTACATGGTGCAGGGGGAAAAATTACAGGAGAAGCCAGTAAGGAAGAGTTCTCTTAATCATCCCGTATTAGCTCAGTGAATTGGAAAATCGTGGCAACTCTGCCAGGGAATATACTGCCCGAACCTCGTATCAGCCACT